TTGCTTCTTGCCACTTGTCTTTTTTCACTATTCGTTAGACAACTCTTTCTTTCTGACATGAAGACAAAAAACTCATCCACATAATCAGATGTGTTCCTGGCCTTGCGCAATCGGAGTATGGATAAAATGTATGCATATCTTTACATATCTACACATGAAAAAGGGGTTGTGGTGTTCATCAAAGCTTGATGGCCGAGAACCAGGAGCTCAAATAGAGAGTATCTAGCGAGAGAGCATTTAAGGATGAACCGGTGAGTTTTCTTGACTCGTTAGCTTAAATATGCTTGTAAGGATGATGATGATGATGATAATGATAATGCTCTTATGAAGTCTGTCATAAGACGAACAAAACGGTATCGAAGGAGACTAGCTCGGAATGTACCAGTAAAGCCAATCGACAGCTGATTAAGGAGGAATCCGCCATCGTCTTCTGATGGGATCGAACTTCGAATCTCTTCACCTCACACTTTCACTCAAAATGGTAGCATGCTGTATGATTTGAGTGTGCTTTTTGTGATCTTACCTTAAGCCAGAGTACATAAAGGCTATACTTCATGAAATAGATGACTTCCAGTTTATGAGGCTGGTCAGCATAATCAGCTGCCAAAAGTAATTTTCGCTAACCACAAATGAAACACGACGAACTGAATATTCCAGTCACCCGAGGACACATAAATTGAGAAATGACCGATGCATGCATTTTTCGACAATTAATTGAACAGGGGGACCTTCATTTCTAATGAAACCGCATGAAAAAGAGATTCGTTTGTCGATCTCATAAGATGAAGACGGATGACTCGAGTTGTACTGAGGCCGTTTGGCTTTTAGACGATATTCATGTTCACGCAGTCCACAAGACCTCCTCCCTCGTTTCGGGTGAAAACGTTTTCAGCTTTCGTCCATCAAATGATGGACATCATCAGAGCTGGGTGTCATTCTTGCAAAAGTCTCACGTTAATACTAAAGCAACAACATTATTCGGTTATATCTTACTTCTTATAAAGACTCGATTGACAATATATACTCGATTGAGTCTATTTAAGTAGAAAAATAGAGCCGGATAGTGTTCTTGCTTTAGTGTTAATGTGAGACTCTTACAAGAATGAAACCCAGCTCTGACGATGTCCATCAG